TACAATCAAATTTAATAAACATAAAAATAAAAATACTTTAGTTATCACTATATAAACTTTTAATTCTTACTAAATATCATAAATTGTGCTTGTAGTTTATATTTAGAGCTACAAATCAGTATATAATACTATATGCCAATCTTTAATTAAGCTCAAATCAGATTCAAATTTGTATAACAGTTTGGTTCGAGTTCGGTTCATTCTTGAACTCAAGCCAAAGTCTGGTTCGAGTTCGGTTCGAATTTCGAACCAAACTCGAACCCGGGCAAAAATCCAGTTCGGTTCAGTTCATAGGAACACTATTTCACAACAACTACTACCAATCAATCAATGGATTTCAACAATGTTTTACAACAATTGCAACAATTACAATTAGCATTACCCAATAATAATAATAATAATAATAATAATACTAATAATCAACCAATCAATAATACAATTCAACACAGGTCAGATGCATCAGGATAATATACAGGGAAACAATAGTTACATTGTGAAAAAGTTCCTAATAATACGTCATTGATTAAGCCACTGATCCGCGTTAGTATATTAGATCACATTGCACAGCAGCATCATCTCATCGAAAACAAAACAAACAAGAAAATGGCTGAAAGAACTGAGCGAGAATTGAACGATGCGAAGAAGGAGTTGGAAGACGCGAAGAGGGCGTTGGCGAACTTCGAGGGAGATGTTGACGGTGAGCAGTGGCTGAAGGCATTGAGAAGAAAGATGAGGACAGGGGGGCTCGACGACAGGAGAAAGCAAGACTGGAGGACAAAGAGAAGAGGCTGGGGGAGGCGAAGGAGGCTCGTTTGAAGCAGGTAGAAGAACTGCAAAGAGCCCTCATTCCAACCACAACAACTCAACCAGGTAACGACTTTGACTCGGGCGTTGGGGACATAGAGTAGTGTGCGTGGGTAGAGTAGACTAGTAAACGTTTAATTCTATTAAATCTTCCATACACCCTCTTATTGTTTGCACAATTTCTTCTTCCCGATGTATCTGTTAACATCCAAAAGGCAGTAATAGTAATAAGTATTCTGTGTTTATCAAGTCTCTTCCTGTTCCTATTATTGTTCTCTTGCCACCTGTTTGTTGTTTCTTAACTGCTTATTCCTGTTCTTTTGTAGGTAGCACTTCCGTGAAGCGTTCACATGTTAGCATGATGGATATTGATCAGGAGTGCGATCGGATTGCAAATTAATATGATCTTGACCTTAATCATCCACGAATCCTAGAATTAGAAAAACAAAAAACAGAATTTGTTAAATATTTATTAATTAATCAAGGTGAGTTATATTTCTATGGAAGGAAAGCTGTGTCTGTGACTTGCACTTTTTTTCTTCATTTGTCGCTTATACATTTGTGTTAGATGCTAGTTCAACGAAAAGGAGTCTCGACCAAATTAATTCAAAGATGGACCGAATGAACTATGACATAAAAAAAATTCGTACATGTTCTGAGGAATGGTTCAGTTGTCCAGGTATGCTTTTCTAATGACATTTGAAATGCGCGTACATCACTTACACTTGAATTGCACATTAAATTTTTCATTCTATTCTGGTTTAGGTACATATACAGAGAGGGATAAGGTGTTCGTGTTATGCAAATTGGCAAAGAGATCACGTTTCCATTTGAATTAACAAGCATGCGCATAAGACAAGGAAAGCCAGGAAGATTCGCGTATCCGCCACCAAGCGACAAAGGAGAGGAGAATTTTCAAGAATACTTTATCCAAGAGTGCTCCGCTTTGAAAGAGCAATCCATCATCTACGATACTAGCAAAACTCCATTCTTAGGGACAAGGAAACCTGATTTCGTGTTTATTCATCGTGATCATTACTTGGATCCCTTGAATGTTGCAATTGTTGGGGAGATAAGAAAACGTACTGGAAAACAATTTAAAAAAGTGGACATAGGACATTGCATCTCCTTTGCTGAAAAGGCTCTTCAGCTTCAACCACGACGGGCTTTTATTTATGCAATTTTAACCGATTGCTATGTGATTGTTATTTATAAAGTGAGTAAGAATGAAAATGGTCGCTTCTCCTACGATTTTACAACAATGGAAAAATTACAATATAATGAGACGGATCCTCTTCTTGGTTAGAAATATTTTCTTACTCTTTTACCTCAATCGTTGAACTCTCTGGGGTGGATCGAACCAAGCCTCATTTATGATGACGAAATTGTGGAGTTGAAGCAGTTAATTGGCGTGGGAAGAACTAGTGTCGTATTCAAAGGCAAATACCGTGATGTTGGGTAGCCGTAAAAGTTACGAAGAGCGATGATTATCACGAGTGTTTTGCAAGGGAAACAAAGGTGCTACAAACTTTAGCAAGTCTTCAATCGCCACATCTTCCGAAGCTCCTTTTTTATAATAGCACTTCCATTGTTATTACTCCAGTATGCAATAAAATTCGTAATTTGGAAAAGGGGGATATTAAGGCGATTGTAAAGACTCTTGAAATGATTCACAAAGAATTCAAAATCATCCACCGAGATTTAAGACCAAAGTACAATTTACTTCGGGATGATTCTGGCAAAATTGTAATATTCGATTGGGGATTTAGTATTGAGAGCGAGGAAGAAGCGTCATTCGCAGGAGCTCTGGAATGCTTGGGCAATAATATCCTTGAAGCATTGGCAAATAATCAAACCATTACATACACGCCAAGTGTTGATTTAGTTTGTCTGGTACGAGGATTTTACCTAATGTTACATAAACCACAAATCAAGAGGCAATCTTTTGATTGAAAGATGATCACGAGAAAATTCAAGAGGTAATATAGAATTTACAGGTATTCTGGTCTAATAATGCGAATTCGCCTATGTGGACTAATATTTACGAAAAAGCGATGCAGTTAGATTATGATGGACTAGTGTCAGCTTTGGAGGAAGTGTTTTAGGGAATGTCATTTATCACATGATTTTTTTGATGGTTCTAACACTAATAAAAATATGATAAATGGCACTATTGCAAACACAACTAGATAATAAAATGTAAGTCTCCGTCTGTATGCAAACATTAATATGGTGAGTGATAGGAAGCGATCCGACGGGATCTATAATATATCTTGATTTTCACATTATCATATGACGAGCAAGATATATATCATGAAAAATGGTCATGATTCTCTTAATTTGAATCCTAAAATCGCGTCTGCAATATATGACTTGATTTTTTTCATTCCTACCTTTTTAATCAAAGTGTATATTATTCATGATGCTTTGAGGATGTGGCATAATTTCATTATATACTCGTAACCCCTCTGTCATTCTTAACAAATTTTTCTGCATAGTAATAATACCAACGCCTTGTTTGCTTTTTGGTATATACGGGCAAGACTTTGTCGATGAATTATCGTCAACTCCAGATTTATCTTTGGGAGGCGTAGATAATTCTAATATTTACCCTTGCATTCTAGTTTCAACATAGTCGATTGGGGGAGCTGTTTAGTGGTGTCGTTCGTTCGCCTGTGATAGGTTGTGTGGTAGAAGCGGATATTTGAGAAATAGGATCGCCTGCTGACTTCGATCATCTGATAATAATATAACATCCGAGTACGATGGCTGGAGGAACTAGCAAGTGCTGACCTCGATCTTTCGGCTTCTTCCCTAATAGTTTCGATGAGAACGGGGCATACAGGACATTTTGCTTCAGTGCGCATGATATGCTTCTCGATACAAGTGCGATGATGTATATGTCCACAGATAATACTTGGAATGGGGTCGCAAGCATATCTTGATCGCATAAGGAGCATGGATTTAGCTTTGGTATTTGAGCGTTAATGGGAATATGATATACGCTATATCCCACGATTGAGATAATTTTCTTAGAAAATTCAATGCGAGTGCTTTGAGGTGGGTGGTGTCCATGTTAACGAGTTAATACTAACAATGTGTCGGGATAAAAAATACTTCTAGGTAAGCAGAAACATTTCTCACTGTCTTGATAGGTGGGTTTATATACTTTAGAGATCAGAAGCTCCGCATGTGAAGAATCCCGTAAGTTCGAAAGATGGAATGAATTCATCTTTGCCTCGATTGATCGGCAAAACTCTCGAATTCCACCCATAGAATGCTTGCGTCCTAAACTAGTACATTAGTAATTCCCCACTAAAATGGACTATATCATATGTAATTATTGACTTAGTGCCGAGCTTTTTGCGGCTGTCACCATGAGCCGCCGTGAAGATTTTGAGGCTCAGCCGTTCAATTCAGGAAGTGTTGAACATGTAAATTGCATATTCGTAAAAATGACTTCGAAATCGTGATAATATTTGGCAGGGGAGTAATAATAATAATGCCATTATGAATATGCCCTTTAACGATGATGCGTTACGAATATGCCATTATTGGATGATGGTTTGCATAATTTTCCTTTTTTGAAAATTAATATCAACTGACTCAGCTCTCGAGAAAATAGCTCAGCTGGCCGGAAAATTTTTAGTGGATTGCATGGATTTCCTGAGTCTTTCAATTATTACCGTAATTTACCGTTTAGAATACCCCGGGTAGAATTCATGGGGGTATGATATTATGGGGGGGGGGGGTATTCTAAATGGCAAATTATGGTAGCTAACATCTATTTTATTATAGGGACCCTTCCCCCCTAAAAATTTTCCGGCTCAGTTGAAAATTATACAAACCATCTTATAGGGCATATTCATAATGGCATTATTATTATTACTCCCTGGTTCTGGTTCATTGCCAAAATATGTATATTATGGTATGTAACATCTAAAGTCGTCAAACATTTATAAAACGTTAAACTTCTTTATTAAGACGTAAATACAAAATTTAATCCGTGAATATGACAAAATAGGCTTAAATTTCTTAGTAAAGAAGTTTATACAATTTATAAAATTCAAATGTTTGATGACTTTAGATGTTATGCATCATATTACGATTTCAGTAACTAGAATATGCAATTTACATGTTCAACAATAATTGGTCTGATGCATATTTTGCATTATCTGCCTGATTGACCAGCTCATTATACTATACTTCCTAATTTGAACGGCGGCTCATGGCGACGGCTTAAAGGCTCAATCGGCTTGCAGCACTAAACTCTAATAATAAAATGTATATTAGCTAATATCATGTGGCTCAACCAATAATATTGCCAGGGTCAGACCAATCTGTACTCTATTCCTTTGGGGCTTAGGAATTTCATTTAGCAGATATGGCGCAAGATACAAAAGCTTCTACCTTATTAACAGGAGCACAAATTATCGCAAAAACATTGAAACGGCAGAATGTGACGGTGGTTTTTGGGATTGTTGGGATTCCTGTTATTGAGGTGATAATCATAATGAGGATAACGTGCAAGGGTTTTTGTTTGTATAATGTGATATTAATATTTATATTCATTTACAGGTCGCTGAAGCTATTATCGCTGAAGATATAAAATTCATTGGTTTTAGGAATGAACAATCGGCAAGTTATGCTGCAAGCGCTTATGGTATTAATGATGGTGCTGTTTGTTATGATCCATATTTATTAGACTAAAAAAAATTAATATATTATGATAATAGGATATTTGACAGGAAGAGCTGGCGTATGTTGACCATCCATTTAATTGATCATTTCCAATAAATATTTATATGATTAATTATACTAGGTATGTCTAGTGGTTGGGGGACCAGGAGTAGTGCATGCATTGGCCGGTGTAGTTAATGCACAGGTGAATTGTTGGCCATTACTTTTACTAGCCGGATCTTCGGATACATATCAAGTGGGAATGGGCGCGTTTCAAGAATTAGATCAAGTGTCTTTGTGCCAATTGAGTACAAAATATTCAGTAAGACCTCCATCAATCAGTAGAATTCCGAGCATAATAGAAAAAGCTTTACGCACATCAGCATATGGAAGACCTGGTCCTGTTTATGTGGATCTTCCGGCTGACTATATTCAAGGAAAGATCGAGAGTGATAATGGTCTAAATTTTCCAGGACCGATTCCTGAGCCACCCAAATCATTATCTGATCCTGCGAGTGTACAAGCAGCAGTGGCATTAATAACAAATGCTAAAGCGCCTTTAATCATTATTGGAAAAGGAGCATCATTTTCACGTGGGGAAAAAGAAATTTTAGAATTTATTAATAAGATGGGTATACCGTTTCTTCCAACCCCGATGGGAAAAGGGGTTGTTCCCGACTCGCACATCTTAGGAGTAGCAGCCGCTAGATCACAAGCGTTAGCAGGCACCGATCTAATTTTATTATTTGGCGCAAGATTAAATTGGATTCTGCACTTTGGTTTACCGCCAAAGTACAATAAAAACGTAAAAGTGATACAAGTTGACATTTACCCCGAAGAACATCACAATAATCGTCGTGCCGATGTCTCATTACTCGGACATCTTCCGCTTATCGTTTCACAACTCCAATCAGCGTTACCACCCTCTTACAAGTATCCATCATCGTCGCCATATCTTGTTGAGTTACGGCAGAAAATCGAGGCAAATATTATCGCGACAGAGAAAAAATTCAAGGACGATGAGCTTCCGATGAGTTATCATCGTGCTTTTTGGGAGATTAAGAAACGGTTGCCGGCTAAAGATGTGGTGTTTGTTAGCGAGGGAGCTAATACGATGGATATTGCGCGATCGATTTTTGATGTACAAGAACCGAGGTGTAGAATAGATGCTGGTAATAGTAGTTTATTTATTATTTATAGATGATAACTACCACTGCTGCTGCTTCTTATTAACGACATTCATAATCTTTTTAATTACCGTAAGGGACGTTTGCAACCATGGGTGTTGGAATGGGATTTGCTATAGCTGGTAAAGTTCGCTCGATTTATATTAATATATATTATTCAATTGATCTATTATTTATTATCTATAGCTCAAGTACATTATCCAAATAAACGTGTTGTTGCAATTGAAGGCGATTCCGCATTTGGATTCAGGTGTTAATTTATATATTTTTTATGATCAACATTAAAATTACTAAATGACTATTTCTTAAAACCAGTGCCATGGAAATAGAAACAGCCATACGGGCAAAACTTCCCCTCTTAATAATCATTATCAACAACAATGGAATCTACAAAGGTCTAGACACAACAGACTATACGGCAATTCCCGAAAATCGATTACCCTCCACCGCACTACTGCCCGACGTACGATACGAGTTGATAGCGGAGTCTTGTGGCGGCGTTGGATTTCTTGTAAAGACACCCGAAGAACTTGGGTACGCTATTGATGCTGCACTTGCGAAAGACCTTGCAGGAAAGTGTGTGGTGGTTAATGTGTTGATTAAGCCTGGGGGAAATAAGAAACTTGTGAGTATTATTTTTTGTTGCCAGATTGATTTCTCTCCTTTGGTTCTTTATGATATTGAACTTTTTTATCTTTTTATTATTTGTTTTAGGAATTTGGCTGGCTTCAGACATTAAAGCCAAAGATTTGATTTGATTATAAAATTTTATTCCGACTTCTTTTGGTTGTAGATTAATATCCCAATTACGTAATCTCGAACCAGATTCGAATCTGAACAAAAGTCCAGTTCAGTTTGATTCATAAAAACACTAATCACTGGCATGAAATCAAATTGGAAACTGATCATGATCTAGAAAAATTTGCAACGTTATCAAAACGAAAATAACAACTAAACTTTGAACTATAACTTATATAACTGGTTTCATGAGTGAGTATTTGGCATTTCTTTTTATTGATGAATGTCTAATTTTTTCATTTTATTGGCATTGTTGCAAGTTTTAATTGGTTTTTAGTTTGATATGACATTGTTGAACATTCATATTCTAAAACATATAATCAGATCTTTTTTTTGATTTTGTTAATCTAAATGCAAAAATATTCATCTTAATTATAGAATTATAAATTACAATATTGATGAAGTTATTGATATTCAAAGTTGATATATAAAAAATAGTAAAATGCTAAACAAATCAAGAAATAACAATATCTTACAAATTTAGATTTATTTGATTTATTTAATCAAAATAAATATTTTTTATATTTAATTTTTTCATGTTGTTTTTATTATAACCAAATCTAGTGAATTTTTTTGGTGAATATTACTAATAATATATAATAATGAAGGATTTTTTCACTTTCAGTATTAATAGTGTTCTTGTTAATTTAAAAATTGTTGAAATTAATGAACTAACAAAGTAACATAACAGTAAAAGAACAAAGACTGAATAAATTACAATTAATGGGATTCACTAAAGATTCTAAAGATCTCCTGTGGTAGCTTGTACACAAACTAACTAAATATTATCAATAAAGAATAGAAATGAATAGAAAAATAAAGTGAAAATACAAAAAGAATTAAATAATTAACAAATAGTTTCAAAGTGAATAATAGAACTTATTGAAGATGCCTAATAAAATAAAATAACAATTGGACTTATTGAGAGTGTCAATTACAAAATATAAACAAAAATAATCAAACAGAACTTATTGAAATTGCCTAAAAGTAATTAAACAAAAATAATAATGTCAACAGTTTATTTAGAGTGGAGGAGCATCCACTACTTGTAATTTCAAGATTTTAAGATAATTCATAAAAATAATAGTATATTTACAAGTAAAATATTATTAATAAGAACTTTGTTATTTATTAGATAAAAGGATTAAAGCATGAGAGTTTCTAGTGACAAGAGATCCTTCTTTTATACATTTTCAATCTTTTACACAATTTATATAACTAATGACTATTCTAAACTATATCACAATTTACATACAATACTAACAATATAAAAGAAGTATAAACATCGAAAAATAAAAAATTACACAAATTCATTAACAAGAAAATACAAAAGAAAATTGGTTGTAATTCTAGTGGCTTAAGATAAGAAAAGCAAGAGTTTGAGTAAAAAGAAGTGTTGTATAGAAAGAAAATAATAGTACGAACATGATAATAGATAATTATAACAAAGAAATTAAAAGATAAAAAGAATAATTGTAACAGGAATGAAAAATAAAATAAAATTAATATAAAAAACTCTTTCTCATAGATCATTTTTCCAATAATTTACTGCGCCACAAAGAAAGAGAAAATATTTTTTCCTGCTATAATAGCTTGTTTAAACTAAAATAAAAACATAATAAACTCTTCAAACAAGTTCACTTTACATATAGACAGCAAAAAAACCAGTCAAAAAGATGGTTTAATGACCGAAAATGGTCAAAAACTGTTCAAACTGGATAATAAAGAAGAAAACCAAAAAAACAGACCAAAAACACCTGAAAACAATCCAGAAAACATAATAAAAAGAAACAAAAAACTCCTTCATACACCCCCAACACCAGCTAAAGCACGTACCTTACAAAAAAAACCAACACTCAACTTTAACAAAGAAATAGAAAATAACTATAACTATAATAATCAACAAAAAATAAATAAACAAATCGAAACTACAACGCAACAAACCAGCTTCATCTCATCAATAATTACTTCTCTCGACACTATGACAGGTAGAAAAAAATCTAGAAAAACATCCAACCAAAACTCAAACAGCGCTTCTTTAAAAGGAAAAGAAAAAAATATCTCTCCAAATACTTTAACCCCGATTGAAACAATCATCTCCAATAATCAACAACAACAATCTAAAACTGATTGGTCACAAGATACCTTTGATGACCATAGCGACATAGAATCAGATTGCGATAGCGTACACATGATTAATACTGAAGAAAACAATCAAAATAATGGTGAATGGAATACCATCACAAGCACCAAAAGATATGCATTAATCATTGCGATGGAAACCATCCCACACACCAAATCGCAAGACAAAAAAGAATGGATTCAAAAAAATCTAAGCTGTCAAACAGGTTTCATCGGACAAAAACCACCCACATTTAAACACAAAAACTCTTACAAAATTGAATTCAAATCAGAAGAATATCGCAATAAAGCAATTCAATTCCTTGAAGAAAATCATCAAATTCAAGCACAACCATTTATTCCTAATCTACCATCATCCAAATTTACTCCTAACGGTATCGTAATTAAAGATATTCCATTTAAAACTACCATAGCTGACATTAAAAATGCAGTATCTTCCATCGGCACGCCAAAAACTATTACTGTAACAGTGAAAGCAGGATGGCAATTGGCACATGTAACATTCAAAGAATCTGATGAAGATCTCAATTTAGACAAGATCTGGTCTATTTTAATTAAAAAGGATAGCTGTAGAATAATTCCCAGAAATAAATTTCAAG